CACTTACGATATTTAAATTGATTTTACAATTCTATTAGTAGGCAAAAACCTAGGCTGCAACGTCGTTGAATAGGGTAAACATAGTTTATACCTGTATATAATTATAATGTGTAATTCAGGATATTTGAAAACACTTTAACTAACTTTCAAAAGGTTAATCCTATTCAAAGTTTCCTAATCTATAGTTGATTAATGAAATTAGCTACTTTTTTTCATCTCGACCTTAAAATTTTTTTAACTCAAAAAGATATAAGGTCCCCCAAAATGAGATCATTCAATGATTGCTGTTTGATTGTAGAAAATTTCTTATTTATCATACATTCCTTTAGAAATTTACACTCCAATTGACTTATAGAAAACAAGTTATCCATGCCCATCTCATGTCTCTTTTTTCTCTATAAGTTTACTAAAATGTCTTGCTATACCATCACAGGAGGTTCATATATCTCTTATTTGAGGGTGAAAAATGGGGTATATAAGGAGTAAAATTAGCTTGAAAAACTCCGCTCTCATATTCAAGAATAAGTCTTTTTACAGTTTCAATTTATCCTCTATTTTTATTCTACGTTTATTTAACTAATCTCTATGTTCTCATTGTTGAGTATTTGCTCATTAATTACTAGCGGAGCTAATCGTTATAAAAAAATTCACCCTTAACAATAAAAAAAAATAATGTTAAGGTGATTAAGATCATATTCAAGATTCTCCTTAATTTCAGTTACTTATTAATCATCTCACTAATGAAATTAAACGTTAATGAAAGGAAGAAAACTTTTGATATGCTCAAATAATCATCAAATATATAACTGGACTGAGTACACAGAAAAACAGATATTAACAATCTTATATGAAATTCGATTTAAAAATTTAGCTAGAAAACCTCCATTTTGCTATATACCAGCTATTTCTATAAGATTAATCAACAGAAGATTTAAATTAACCAATGTAAATTATGAATAAAATTAAATTTAACAAAACAAAACAAAAACTAAACAATGTTCAAGAAAAGCTTTTAAATTTCAACTGCATCAAATAAATTATTGAATTTTGAAGCTTTTAAAAAAGTATGAAACTCAATTAGATATTAATAAAATCAGAATGACCAATGTTTATTTTGTAAGAATAAAATGCTTTCATATTATTCAAAAGTTAGACTCCTTTCACTACTCGGTTTGTTTGATATACCATATCATTGATTCATTATTGGTGTTTAGCACGTTAGTTTCGAAACTAAATTTTTAACACGACTAAAAAAAGAATTCTTATACTTTATTCGCATATAAAATACCCTAGATAAGCACCTACATAATTGATATCATTAAAAAATATCATAAGTTAGATCAAAACCTTAAATCAAGTATTAGTTAGAAAATAACATATCTCAATAGTGTAGCAAGTCTTTGAAGTTTCTCTCAATCTAGCTATAGCTCTAAGCTTACGGTCATATGATAATTCGATATATGGTGGATTAATTTTTTTCACTATTATCATCCATGATTGCTAGCACTAACACCTTGATATAATACCACTAAAAGGGTTCTCAATTTGCTCAATTGCAGAGCAGCGCATTATGCAATCCTCTGTGTGCATAATTTATATATTCTTCTTCTCTTTTAAGCTGAGGATATCAAAAACGATTTTCTCAAAGTAACTTAACATATTTTCTTGCCATATCTTTCTAAATCTTATGTAAAACTCAAACTATATTATCATTTCTAAAATTTCTTAATTTTTCAACTTCTACTTAATATGAATTTAATGTAGTTTACTATTTGAAACAACAAAAATGATGAATTATATTTGATATCAGTTTTATAAAGTGAAGTTACTTTAATATTCGAATCTTTAATTTATTTAAGGTGGCTTAATAATTTTTATATAATATTTTGATAAAACTTCAGAAAAGGGAAATTTTCTATATATGATCACCCTCTATAATTTAGATTATTTTTAATGTTTATAACTTCTATTCAATCGATTTTATTAGTTGGCAATATTGTTCTTGCTACTTGATTAATTCATAATTTTAATCTCAGAGTACTACAATTAATATCTCAAAGTTGTATTCTCTAATGATTTTATGATATTAATTCTAAATTATAAGTTATAGGCATCCAAAATAGTATTTTAATTTTCGATTTAAGTTTATTGACAAGTGGTGCTGAATTTATGCTTAGTCTTTTAAAGTGTTCATTCATATTAACATTATATTGAGTTGGATATTAACTTATACACCTTAAGATTGATTAGCTCTATTATTAATTTGCTAATTATAAACAAATTAAACTTTTTTCTATTAGGTTGATTGTTTTCCTCTTTCTCTATTGCTTGGATCAGCTTCTATTCTCTAATCACTTCTTCAAATCAGGATCCTTCTGATTAATACTATCTGTTTAATTTTATCTAAAGTGCAAAATATTTCTGATTAATTAGAATTCAAATGATTTTATTATGTACTTGTATTGATATAGAATTATCAGACCTGATGAAAAAATGTCTCTTATTCCTTGTTGTTGACTTGTCCAATCATAAGGATTTTTTCATCTCAAAAGTAATTCATCTTGAATGCTCAGGCGGAAATTAAAGTAGAGTTAAAGTTAGCATCATTTTTTAATAATTAATAATTATGCTCTGATTGTTTGGACTACTTTAGGCCATGAAATTTACTTAATACTGAATAGGTTCTGAACCTAAAATACAAATATAAGGAGAAATTACAATCGTAAGCAAGGTGAACATAAAATAAATGAGCGCTGAGATTGTTTTAGCGAAAAGGTTGAAAAAAATATTTAGATAAATAGATTCAAATAGGAATAGGATTTAAAGATCTAGTAGGTAGGGGAAAATAGGGGCTATTTGTTAAGGTCATTGCAGATATGCTAGGAATTTAGGAATGAGTTGTGATGAAACCCTCAACACTTAAGAGAACATGAAAGTTATTTAAGTGTAAGAAAGATTGAATAAAAATTAAGATACAGACAATAATGTGTGATTGCAAATATTTGAATTAGAATGTTACAAAGGAAAATTTAAAGTTATGAATGAATTTTATATCTACAATAAAATAGAGGAAGAGCTAGAAATGTTATCAAGTGTAAAATCAGAATAATGAACAAATAAGATTCTAGAAGTTTTACCAACATTGCATTTGCAACTCATTTAGGAAAATGTTAAAAAGTGCAAATATTTGAAACAAAAGTTGAAAATAATAGGTTATTTACAGAGTTTTTATAATACTGCAATAAAATCATCTATTTTATTTTATAAACATTTTGGTTGTTTTTGTTTGATAATAGATAAAAAAAGGATTTTTAATTAATTAATTATCCTGAATCAATTTTTATGCATAAAACTTCTTAAATAAAATGATCTAAATTTTATATCAAAGGAAAGTTATTAAAATTGAAGACAATTTTTTATTGAATTTCTAAGATATCTAATAAAGGAAGCCAATTTTATTTCAAAATTATTAATAAAATTAAAGACCATTCTTTTTTTTATAAATGAATGTAATATATGATAAATAGAGTAATATTAAATGTAGATACGAATAAAAGAATTTTCATAAATACAAGTATATTTTTAAATAATTTAGATTTAGACAAAACATAACAAGGAATAAAGGTGCTATAAGGTTTGTGAAATGAAATTACTATAAATATCATAATTTATAGAAAAAAATATTTTGATTGAAAATCCTTTGATAATTAAAATAATTTTATTTTCTTATTATGATATTATTTTTTTATTCATTATTTCAATTTCTGTTGACAAAATTCTAGATTAACAAATTAGAATACCCTTTTAATTTTTAGTCCATTAATCATTCGGTTTAAATTTTAATTTGCTTTCATAATATATCAGAGCTTCTTAATATTTTTCTTAATCTTGTAAACAGTTTCCTTGATAGGAATTAACAAATACCAAGTCTATCAAGACTAAATGTGTGGTTTGGATTAATAGAAAGTGCAAATTGTAGAACTATTTCAGACTTATTATATTACTTCATTAATCTTAAACATTCTCCTATTAATATAAAAATGATGAAATCTACCTTTTTCACTTAAGGAAAAAACATGTTTGGGATCAATAGCTAATGCTTTGTCCAACCAAGTAATTGCATCCTCATATTTATTCAACTTTTTTAAACATGCACCTATTAATATAAAATGATGAAATCTACCTTTATTACTTAAGGAAAAAACATATTTAGGATCAATAGCTAATGCTTTGTCCAACCAAGTAATTGCATCCTCATATTTATTCAACTTTTTTAAACATTCGCCTATTAATATAAATGATGAAATCTACCTTTTTCATTTAAGGAAAAAACATGTTTGGGATCAATAGCTAATGCTTTGTCCAACCAAGTAATTGCATCCTCATATTTATTCAACATTTTTAAACATTAGCCTATTAATATAAATGATGAAATCTACCTTTTTCATTTAAGGAAAAAACATGTTTGGGATCAATAGCTAATGCTTTGTCCAACCAAGTAATTGCATCCTCATATTTATTCAACTTTTTTAAACATACACCTATTAATAATTTAGTATTTTCACCTTTTTAGTATAATGATTTCTAATTATTGCTATTTATTAAAATTGATTTATCTAATAATTCTAATGCCTCTTTATATTTATCATCCCAATATA